AATAGCCGGGTATTATCGTGCTCGTGAGATCGAACACGACCGGCCGTCCCTGGTTCTTGTCACAGGATGCATTGATGCGTCTATTAGCGCGAATTTGCAAGTATGATTCGACGTAAAAACACCTCCCCGCGGCACGTTCATCTCCTCGGGAGCACGTTCACGGAGTAGAACGCGCGTGAAACGAACGAGCGATCTCAGTTGTTGCGAAGCATGTGCTTCAACGATGATCACGCGTCGTGAACATTTTTCAATTGGCCACTGATACTTCCTATTTTCTTCGTCTTTCATTTCACATGATGGCGAAAAAGAAAAATGAATTAAATAGTAAACGAAAAGATACAAACTTACGATTCATTCAGATCTATTATGATTAACGACAATATTATGACTAACTTTGTATAATTCTTTCTATTTTTTTTGTTTTGTTTTTGCCACAAAATATATGTTTTTCTTTTTGTTTCTCTCTCCTTTTTTTTATTGTTGTTTTTTCTCTCTTTTTTTCTTTTCTTCTTCTTCTTCTTCTTCTTCTTTTTGCGCGTCGCAGGATACAACAACAGCGCAATGTTACGTTAATCTATTCCATTTGTTTTTCTTCGTTTTATTTTTTCTTCTATTTTTTTTTTCTTTTTGATTCTGTTTCGATCGAATGAAAAAAAAAAAAAAAAAATAATAATATTTTAACTAATAATAGTTTGTGATCATAAAGATACGATTTTAGATTTTTTTTTAATTTTTATATTCTTTTTTTTTTCTTTCTTTTTTTACAATTATCGAGATAATTACAGTGTTAACTAAAGAAGCTGTTCTTATTTAGTATATATATATATATATATATATATATATATATATATATATATATGTATGTAATAACGAATAAAGATAATTAAATGTCAATAAATGTTTAATTAACGATCTTAACCTTTTCATTAATATTAATAACTTTTTTCAATTTCGAAAAGGAAAACTTTAAAAAATTCCTCATCCTTGAAAGCTACAAATTCATTCAGTAGATAAGTATCTACGGATACGAATTCTTGATAAGACTTAATAAATCATGTTTTTCTTATTCATTCGATATCTATGTTAATTTCGTAATAATGATTTTGCTTAATTCACAAATTTAATATATATATATATATATATATATATATATATATATATATAACACATATAATAAATGTAATATATATATAATTCCAATTTATAAATAACATATGTAATTCCATTTGGTGCTTAATTCAAAGTATAAAAAAAATCAATTCTCTCTCTCCCTCTCTTTTCTCTCTCTCTCTCTCTCTCTCTCTCTCTCTCTCTCTCTCTCTCTTTCTATCTTTCTCGAAGAAGAAGAAGTCGATTTATCAGCGTCGCTGTCGCGTGCTGCTGTTGCCACAGAACCTACCAGCTCGTGAGAAGCATAAGCGGCCGCAATGAGTCGGCTAATTAGTTTATTACGCCGCGCTGATTTGTACGCTCGTAAATCGCCGGATTACGTGTGTATGTATTATACAAATATACATACACGTACACACATACACGGAATATATGTATTTTTGTGTAAAGTCACACCATTAAATTATAAATCTCTCTAAAGAAACATAATGGCGTTCGAGGGACGAAGAAAATCATTCGTTTTACGTGATTCTTTCTTTCATTTATTCTTTTTTTTTTTTTCTTTTTCTCTTTCTTTCCTTATTTTCATAACGATTCAAAATGTAGGTATACAATTTCCATGGTGTAATTATCTCACGTTGCAAAAGTTGGCCCGTATATCCCTAAGAAATATAATCGTTATATTATTACACATTCAGATATAAATGAGCCCATTAAGGTAAAATCTATAATAATAATAAATTCGCGTCCCATTGAATAAAGTTTTGTTGCCTTAATTGGCTTAAGTCGAAAGAAATTATATTCGTTTCTTAGATATAATAAAAATAAATACATACATACATACATACATACATACATACATACATACATACATACATACATATATATATATATATATATATATTTACGAGTTAAATATTAACAGTATAAATAACAATAATAATAATTAACCAGCCAGATTGTGGATAATCTAATAAATATATAATAAATATATTAAAGCCGCGGATCGTTTTGCACAGCCGTGAAATACATAATTCTATTGTCTAAAAGTTGTTACGTTGTGGGAGAACGTAAGTAAGTAAATAAGTAAGTAAGTAAGTAAGTAAGTAAGTAAGTAAGTAAGTAAGTAAGTAAGTAAGTAAGTAAGTAAGTAAGTACGGGGCACTCAGGTGTGCCAAGTCCGCGCCTGGGCCCACGGAACTTGCTCCTTTCCGCCGTTAAATTATAGTGTTTACGCGAATTAGATTTCGGTTTCGGTAATTTTCAGTTAATAACGAAACGAACTGGGCAACGAACAAACGTTAAGTGCGGCTTCGGGCCCATTAATGCCATTATAATCTAAAGGGCTACCTATACGTTCAACTTTCACTCTCTCTCTCCTTCTCTCCCTCTCACTCTCTCTCTCTCTCTCTCTCTCTCTCTCTCTCTCTCTCTCTGTTCGCTTTACTCATTCTTGTTGCATACGCAGCAAGTGCATCGCTCCTTTACGTGCTTATACGCGAATAATAAACGCGCGATGGGTGTGCGCAAAAGGCAACTCTGTGAGTCTGTATAAAAGAGAGAGAGAGAGAGAGAGAGAGAGAGAGAGAGAGAGGAAAAGTGGGGTTTAGATCTCTTATACATTATCGTCCGCATTACGTCGGGGGCTACTACCTGGATTATAAGCTCATTTCCGATAAATCGACTCGATTAAAAAGTGCCTCTTAAGAGCGCGTAAACCACTTTGCTTCGACCCTTCCCCCAAGGTCCACTCCCCTCTCCCTCTTCAATCCCCCCCTCCGATTCCGCCTTCCTTTCCTACAAGCTTCGATATCGCAAGAGAGCAACGTGGGTAGGTAGGTAGGTAGGTAAGGTAAGTAGTTAGGTAGGTAGGTAGGTAGGTAGGTAGGTAGGTAGGTAGGTAGGTAGGTAGGTAGGTAGGTAGGTAGGTAGGTAGGTAGGTAGGTAGGTAGGTACCTACTCGTTTTTAGAAATTCGTTTCAACGAGCGCCATTTTCCTTAAAGACTGGTACCGCTTCGAGCTCCGCGTCGCTGTTTATATCGCGCCGTTTTAGAAGAGGAAGAAGAAGGAGCCTTAACAGACTCGACTTGCTATTCGCCTCGAGTTGCTAGAAAGACGATCGGTGTCGGCAAACGATACTTTCAATTAAGATTTTTCTTTCCTTTTTCCTTTTTCTTTTCCTTCCTTTTCTTCTTCTTTTTTTTTTTTTTTGTCTTTTTTCTTTCTTTTCCTTTTTGTTCTCTTACTTTTTTCTTCTCTTCTATTTCTCCTTCCTCATCTTTCTATACTTACTCATTTCTCTTTGCAACAGGGAGATATTATATAGTACATCGATGATCGTGAGTGGTGTCATAATCGCGAATGGAATGCAAGCGATAACTTGGCGTTTTTTTTCTCTTTTTTTTTCTTTTTTTTATTCTCTTTTTTTTTCTTCTTTTTTTCTTCTTCTTCTTTTTTTTCTTTCTTTTCCTTTTTTTTTAACCATCGAGGCGCCATCATTGCAAATTGGCGCCGTAGTTGGTTACTCGCATGTTGTAGATCGATAAATGGTTAACGTTTAAAATATTTCCGATAATATTCGAAGATTTTATCTCAGGGCGGAGAAGATCGATTTGATCGTCGATTAATACGATTAAAAATTGTTCCTGTACATTTGCCAAGGAAAATAGACGTCTAACTAACGATTCGTTCGATTCTAAGCGCACGTTCAATTCGGGTTATATCGATTGTGGTTAAAAAGCAAAAAACAAGAAAGAAAAGGAAAGAAAAGAAAAAGAATAAGAAGTAATCATCGCAAGATTCTACGCATACGTTAACGTATACGTGGTAAACTTATGCACGTACCTATCTATCCATATCCCGCAAATATATCTTTATCGAGAAAATGCGAGAGTGAACGACGAATACAGCGTGAAAATGATTTCTATCGTTACGAGGAGAATCGTGCCGCGTTTAGACCTATACTCGTTCCCGAGTTAAACCGCATATTTGAGGTATGTACAACGTAGAGTACTTACACGCGAGCTCTCGTAGGAATCATTAATGTTCTGCAAGGTCGGTGAAAGGAATGATACCTTTACCCTCACCTGGATGGATTAACGTATATCAGGATTTTATATGGTGATTCATTTTGTTATTATAATCACATAGATATGATCAATCACGATAACACATTTCTTACAATGTACGTGTGGTTTCATTTTACTTTAGAGATTTTTCTTTGTTATTTTTCTTTTTTTTTTCTCTCTTTTTTTTCTTCTTTTTTTTTTTTCTTTTCATTCTTCCGAACAATACAAGTCTGACAAAAAACGATTACTCTGACGATATCCCCGCGATTAAATTCTATAAAAGAGAAAAAAAAAAAAAAGGAAAGAAAAGAAAAAAAAAAGGAGACCGCAGTCAAACGAGACCGCAATGATTTTTCCTGGCAAATTCCGATCTAGCGGTCGGGGTATTACCCGAGAACGAATGAATAATAATTGGTGCATTAGAAAATAACAATATCAGTTAGAATTTCGACGGCTATCCCCTAACGACGGACTTTCCCTTTTTCCGGGATATATTCGACGAAATATTTTCATTCGATCGATCGTTCGATGTGCGAGATTTAAAAAAAAAAAAAAAAAAAAAAATACAGAAATTCGTTTCGAACATTTAATTTTCACCTCGTAAAAGATACATTGAAAGTGAGCAAGGAAAAAAAGCATACTCGCGGGCGCGCGCGTGCGTGCGTATACAGACACACAGACATTTGGAGTTACGAAAGATAAGATTTCTATGTATTCCAGGTAATAAACACCCAGGTATTCCTCACGAGGGACTCGAGGAATGACGACCGGGTGTCCGGCAGAAATTACGAAAACCAACAAAATAATTTCTTCTTTTACAGATCAGTCGAGCGTACGAGGTGGCGGCGGCGGCGGCGGTGGCGGTGGAGGCGGCGGCGGTGGCGGAGGAGGAGGAGGAGGAGGAGGAGGAGGTGGAGGAGGAGGTAGCGAGCAGACCGTCCCTCAGACGAGTCCTGCTAGCAGCACGAGTAGCTCGAGCCAGGTGAATCAGGTGAGCCAGCAGGTGAGCCAACAAACTCACCAGCAGTCTCGCCAACAACAACAACAACAACAACAACAACAACAACAGGCAACGGCGACAACACCGATACCATTAACAACCACCGTATCGTCAACCGCGTTACTGTTATTGTCTACAAGAGCATCACCGGCATCGCCAATAACGACAATAATAGCAGCGACCACGACAACGTCGGCGACGACAACGACAACGACAACGACAACAACAACAGCAGCACCAGCAACAGGAGCAACAACAGCGGCAGCGGCAGTAGCAGCAGCGGCAGCGGCGGCTGCGGCGGCAGCAGCAGCAGCAGCAGCAACTACGACGACGACTCCTCAATCCACGCAGATGGGAATCTCAACGGAAGAGGTTAGGCCCGAGGAAGAGGGCAGCCACCCGAGGGCAGCTCCAACGAGCCCTGAAAGCGAGGCCGAGGTCGACGACTTTGCACCTAAGAGGAAGCAACGACGTTACAGGACGACCTTCACTAGCTTCCAGTTAGAAGAACTCGAGAAGGCATTCTCGAGGACTCATTATCCTGACGTTTTCACCAGGTAAGACCCCAAGTATAAGGGATAGGATAGGATAGGATAGGATCGGATCGATCGGCTTATAACCACGAATAAAATCTCTCCGTCACGAAAGTCTATTTTCTAGTTTTTTCTTTTTCTCTTTTCTTTTTTCTTCTTTTTCTTTCTTTTTTCTTTCTTTTTTTTTTTTTTTGTTTAATCATTCCCGGCAAGTCACGAACTAAGATGACTTGTACTAACGTGACGTACCTACATAGGTGTAACGTAATACTCGTTTTTCGGTTGATTACGAAGGAAATGGAGTGGGAGAGATGTTAGGGATTAGGAGAAGAGGGGGTGGAGAGAGAGAGAGAGAGATAAAGGAGGGGGAAAGGTGTCTAGCCAAGTCCTAATCGAGTCTTCGTTTCTAACAGGCTTCCTGAATAACGGTATCGAGATATAGACGAGTAGACTGGCGCGACGCGCGTTACGGATCTTGAGACCACCTATTAGTCTCCTGATTGATCCGAAATGTTTTAGCGATAGGGGATGACTACCGTTCTCAAATCCTTCCATTCGAGCATATTTTAACATAAGATGATATTTTCGAGAAAGATTTATCGTTTAACATCTCCCCCAGTATTCTTGACACTTTCGTTAAATTCCTGCGTAAGTATGAGAAAGGATTATTACTGACACGCCCCCCACCCTCCCCCAATCGTACGATCATAATATGAATATCCTTCGTCGCGAATGACCAACGATTAATACCTAAAAATCAATTAGGAATTCAAGATTGTAAAAGATCGAATCGAGAAATAAATTTCATCATCGGATCGATCCTATCTTAAAGGTTACCTATTTTAAACGTGTCATTTTATTTTATTTTATTTTATTTTATTTTATTTTATTTTATTTTATTTTATTTTATTTTATTTTATTTTATTTTATTTAATTTCATTTCATATCATTTTATTGCATCTAATTTATTTTTTATTTTATTCCTTTTCTTTTTATCTTTTCCATTTATTTCCTTTATTTTTCTTTCGAATCGTCCTTTTAAACTATCCATGAGTTTTTTACAATTTTGTTTTCTCAATCATTCCGACAGGTGAGAATGTAAACGAAGAAGGAAACTAAATTCTACGTACACGGACATGCACGCTCACATTTGCACGCACTCACGTACGCACGCATACATAAAACGCAAAGCGATAAGCAGAATATTATCGATCGATGCCATTTTTACGATGAAGGCGTAGTCCTTGAACATGATCGTAAAACGGACTTGATTTCTTCATGATTATTCAAGCATCGTTGCTATAGAAGTCGTTTATTCGCATTGCAAAAATAGCGATGATTTAATTGCGCGCGTTACCGTAATTATGAACATACCAATGCCTATCGTTCTGATAAAAGTTAATAACTTTATCAAGATCGAATATAGATGTACATATGTATGTATGTATACGTAGGTACACATACATACATACATACATAGACACATAACGTAACTATCTCTATCTCATCTGTGTGTATCTGTGTGTGTGTGTGTGTGTGTGTATCAATATAGAAAAAAAAAAGAAAAAAAAAAACAAACCATACGTGAGAAACATATCATTGGTCGATTACGTCGATGCAAATAAATAATAAATTGACAAATTTTCCTTGTTTTTTTCCTTCTTTTTCTTTTCTTCTCTTTCTTTTTCTTTTTCTTTTTTCTTTTCTTTTTTTCTTTTTGGTCCATTATAAATCCCCAAAAACTATAATTCCGTATACGGTGTATAGGCAATTATTGTACGAAAGGATTTTAGAAACAAAACCGAGGAAAGAAAAATGACGGGGGACGACCATGATCGTTTCGAATATCCTTTTTCATTCTTTCTTTTCTTTTTTTCCTTCGTCTACTCCGTCTTCTTCTTCTTTCTCCCCTCTCTCTCTCTCTCTCTCTTTCTTACGATTCTACCCATGCAAATTTCCTTCCTTGGCCACGGTCGATGGTTTTGCATTATTAAGTCTCCGAGGAAGAGACGGCCGGTTGTTAGACGTGTAGAGTAACGCGCCGAGAATGGGGTGTAGTGCAATCTATCTGGATGCTTTTCTCTCTCTCTCTCTCTCTCTCACTCTCTTCTCTATCCTTCCTTCTTTCCTTCCTTCTTTCCTTCTCAAGTCGTTCTTTTTTTACACGTGGCTTCTTTCGTGCTATGGAACACCCGGTAGGTAACTAATAGCGGTGTAATCGCTCGTAATAGGTCCGGTCCTGCGGCCACGGTATGGGGTTCTCGTAATTAACGAAGGTGGAAGAGGTAGTGTATAGAAAGAGAGAGAGAGAGAGAGAGAGAGAGAGAGCGAGTATGCAAGAGAGTTTGAAACAGGTAGTGGCCGTGGCGTACGCTCGGATTCTCTGGGGGGGGAGGGGACACCATGGACCATCTTCTACCTACGAAACCTTGTTGCTTAGATCTTAGTACTACCTTATCTTCCCATGCTTCTTTCTCCCCCTTCCCCTCTAATACTACTCTTCTTCTTTATTCGTCGTCCAAATACGGTTTAATAAAAAATTCGTGAAAACCTACGTGACATCGTAGAAAACGATGAGATGAAACGAGAGTTCGTAAATAAACTATTGTTAGATTCCTCTTGAAAAATGTTCCTTAATCGTCTTCAGGATCGTGACCGGATCGTTAAATTTCTTCTTTGTATTTATCGTTTTATTTATTTATTTAACAAGCGCCGATCGTGAAGTGAAAGCGTAAACTCACGGTGATCGACTTTCATATATATATGTGTGTGTGTGTGTGTGTGTGTAATTTATAATATTTATAATATTTAAATATTTATAATATTATAAATTATTAAAATATTAGATAACATTTTTTTTTCTTTTCTTCTTTTTTTTTTCTTTTCTTTTTTTTTTTTCTTACAACTCAATCCCGTTCGGCGCCTTTTTATTTATTTTTCTCTGTCCTTCCTTTTCTATGTTTTTCGTTTTTTATTCTATTCATCCATTTTTTATTTTTTTTTTTATTTTTTTTTATTTTCCTTTTTTGTCTAAAAAGCTAAAGATCAATTTTCTCGCGTTTATTACGACTCGATCAATTTATCAAATCCGATGATATATAATTAGTTCGGACGAGATATTTAATGAACGATACTAGATATTGAAATTCTCCGTATATCGTATAAAAATAAATCTCGCGATTGCGCGAGTGACGCAAGCCAGAACGAAGGTCGGATTAAAGCTGCTCCTGTGAAACAACGTTATAAATAACATTTTAATTACGTTCACGTCTTAAAAAGTCGTAGAACCGTGTTGGACGTGGAGACACATTGGCGGACAGGCACGCATAGTTCGTAAACGCCTAAGCTATGCCATCGTTTATATTTTTATTCGGCGATCCTCCTCAAGATATTATTTTATGGTTATATCGTTCGTAAACAAGTGTCCTCGACGAGTCGAACTTCTAATACTTATCAAAAAGTTTCTAATCGAATGACTATAATCGCTGTCCTATCCGGAGAATAGAATTTAATGTACTTTCTCTTTCTCTTTCTCTCTCTCTCTCTCTCTCTCTCTCAGTTGCTCTCTTTATCTTTTTTTCTTTACCAAAAATATATCGACACAAAAAGAAATCCTGAAAATGTAATTTATCGATCTATCTATCTGTGTATATAACATATCTATCTATCCATCTATCTATCGTTAATTATTATTCAATTCGTCGTATCTAAATTTTTTTTCACTTCTCATACGAATCTTACTATTTTGTAGTAATAAATTGATTTGGTTTCCTTCGTTTCTCAGTGCCTTACGTTGGTATTAATTTCACACTAATTGGATTTTATGGTCGCTTAGGTTTATTGACCAGCCGTGAGGGACGAAGGAGGAAGAAACCAAGCGCAAAAGAGCGAGAAAGACAGACGTAGAGAGTGAGAAAGATAGAGTGAAAGAGAGAGAGAGAGAGAGAGAGAGAGAGAGAGAGAGAGAGAGAGAGTGAGAGACTCGTCGGAACACATTGCATATTCATTAGAAGCCTTTACCGAAGGGCACGCGCACGATTGGTTCTATCAAAATACATTTAATGGACAGACACCACTGGTATATATATATATATACACACACACACACATATATATGATATTTTATAAGGAGTCATCCGATATACGCGAATAATACCCAGGACCCATTTGTTACGGGCGAATAATAAACGTTTTACAATCGTTAGGTACAAATTACTACGTGTCCGCTCATAAACGTCCTACGAACGATGATTTATCTCGATTTCCTCTCGATCAGCGCGTATTATCAAAACCATGGTTATAACATATACCAGTAAGTACCTCTTACTCGTAATATAATATATAATCGTAAATAGGTGCCCGACCAGACTCGTGACAAGAAATTAATATATATATATATATATATATATATATATATATATATATATATATATATAAAATCTCATAAGTGATTGTGCGTAAAAAAGAAAACAGAAAAGGAAAAAGAAAAAAAGAAGAATAAGAAAAGTCTCTGCTAGGAAGTTATTGAGAAGGCGTAATATACTTGCGTATTACTTACAAATAAAATTGTATTTTACTACAACAAGTTTGTAATAGGACACGAGTTCAATATTATACCATTGAATTTTTATGTCTTCTTCTTTTCTTCCTTTTTTCTTTTTTTTTCTTTTTTTTTTTCTTTCTTTTTTTTTTTCTTCTTCTCTTTTCTTTTCTTATTTTTAACACGTCGCCAATCAATTGAGATATACCTAATTTACACGTACGATCTAACTATCCATACAGTAAGGTTACTTATATTAACTATTTCTTTGATATCTCACCTAATCACGTAATATATCAATATTTATTATTATTATTTTTTTTTTTTAACGTTGGACTGTGATAGAATAATATTAAAATCACGTATAATATGTTACATAAGTAGGTCAAATCTAATTTCTATTGAACGTATCTGGACATTCAATCTCGAATTAATTTGCAAGTTTACGTTAAATATTAAAATGACTTACTATATTTGTCGGTAC